TCAAGTCAAAATTAACATAGCTTGAAGTATTATTTATAATATTAATGTTACTTCATGGAATATTACCAGAATCAAGATTATGGTAGTAATGATTGGGACGAACATAAAACAAATTTTAGTTAAATTTTACGATCAAATAAAATAAATAACTCAAAAACACGATAATGAAAGCACAAACATAAAATGATAACACGATTTGGTCCATAACTTAAATATATGTAAATTGTGAATTGTGAACAACAAAATTTTATTACAGAAATAATAAAAAAATAATTACTAAATGTCACCTCATCATGTCACTATTTTATTTATATATTTAAATTTTAGCTGAAAGTAAATTAACATTGGTTTATTAAATTTAGTTTCCTACAAGGACATGGCATATTGGACCTGGCAACTGATGTTACTCTCTCTTTTGGCTGTGTTACCAACATAGCCCAGACAAGCATAAATAAATAAATAATATATATTTCATAAAATAGCAGAAAGTAGTTGTTACTTTTCCTCAAATTCAAGTTGTTTTAAAAAAGATAAATCAAGACTGAAGTTTTAGCCTGGAGCACAATGAAAATTGGGAAAACTTTTGGTATTAGATGCTCTTTTTTTTTTTATTATTATTATTATTATTGTTATCANTAATGTTCTTCCCAACTTCATATTCTTGAATTTTCATTTATTAGTACATTTTGATGAAAATATTATCCATTACATATTTATATTGCATGGCTTACATTTATTTATATTGTTTCTTTTAACTATGCTTTTCTCTATAAATTAGATTATACATATATATAAAAAATACTATACCAACCTAATGGTTAGATCCAACTAATAGAATAATTAACTATCTAATCAACTATTATCAACCATAATTACTCCTTCCAAAATTTAAGCTTAATTATCTAACATTAATCATTTAATCTTTGAAATAAATCTTCTCCTGTGAGTCTGTGACAATATTCTTTTAAAATCCATGTGAAACTCAAGTGAGGTTCCATCCTAAACCAATTGGTGGAAGGAAGAATAGTCCATTAGACTTATAAGGTGTGTCTATTTTTCAAGTATAAAGGATGTGGGACAACTCACAGGTATTCTAACAAGCTATAAATTCAATGATGTCAGGTTTTTAGCATTTTAATTTTTATCTTACACATTTGGATGAATAATGACAATTACTATTATCAGTCTTTGGTTCAAAAACAATTTACTATTTTGCTCTCATTTTATATTTTTTTACAACTGTTTTGGCTTGTCACTATAGTCACCTAAATCTAAATCTAAACATATTAAATTTAAAATTTTGTGTCAGGCCACATAATCGTTAGGATGACCCGTGGCTTACCTTTTCAATTAAAGTACATACTTCTATTACAAAATATTTTATATTTATGAAATTTCAATGTGAAAGTATTCACGCTGTTGAAAAAATGGTTAGATTAGTAGATTTAAAAAATAAAAATGAACTCATTTTCCCTTTTCATTCTAAATTTTTGAAAATTATTACCTGAAAGTAATGAAAAATATGAATTTAATTATGTTTTACAAATAATGCATTAGAAAAATAAAATATTATTATTAACAAAACATATTAAAATGGGGGCTCCCTTATTTTCTGGAAAAAATAAAATAAAAGACTGTCCTTTTCCAGTTTTCCTCCTATGATGTACCAGAATGTTTGTCTGATTACATATATACGATCTCTTTAGTGCATGTAAGTCGTGCTCTTTTAAGTTTTATCAACTCAAATTGACATTTTTTTCCCTACAAATCATTTGATTCAATTTGGTTTTCAATGAATATTCTAATTGACTCAATTATATAATATATTTTCAGAAGTAAAACATTAATTGAACACACTGCTTCAAGGCAATGGATCAGCTGGCCCTGAGCCTTAATTTCATTATTGCATTTTGTTTACCAATAAAATAATAATGATCAATTTATCAAATATATATTCCAAAATCTGAATAAAAAAATGTAAGGATTTATAAAATTCAATTTATTAATATAATAATGCCACCTCCAAAAAATAAAATGTGGAAGAAAAATTCGAACTATATACCTATCCAAAACACAATAAATTGAATTTTGCAAAAGGACAACATAAGCCCATGAAGAGATTGTCTTCACATGAATCACATCTTCCATGAAAGGTAAACAAATACCAACACAATTAGTTCAGATGTGAAATCCCCAAAACGCCTTTGCAAGGATAAGAAATATTAGGGGTAATATTGTTAAAATTGGCTACACGTGGCATGAGCATTTCTATGCATATTCACAGGTGGCTAGTTATTTTCATGCAATTTAATTTGGATAAGATACTACAGAGGAAAAAAAAAAAATAATCATTTGGATAAGAGACTACAGAGGTAAAAAGAGAGAGACTACAGAGGTAATAAAAATAATTTTGAAGGTCAAAAATGGATTTTTTTTATGACGTCATCCTCTTCCTAATGGGATTTTAATCATTTTATCTCCAGCGCGGGTCTTGCTTCTAGGCGCGTACATATTTATTAACATATATTGTTTTGAGTTATATTTAAATTCAAATTTAAAGTGGCATAAGTCTTTTTAAAGGTAAGATAATTAAATGTTAGGAAGTCTACTTGTTGACATTGAACTGTTCTAATTAATGATTTTCTTCCAATGATGATGAGTTCAACTCCATTTTATTTTTTAAGACTCAGTGCTCGACTTGTCTCGGTTGATAAAACGAGTCTAAGTTTGAGTTTATTTAAAATTCATTTAGTTAATTTCATCAAGGCTAAAAGATAAGGTTTTTTTTTTTTATCTAATTTTATATAGTTTTGCTTATTAATGTTCAAGTTCGGATAGCTAATATTAATATCCAAGGATAGCTAATATTAATATCCAAGCCAAAAATTTCAGCTCATTTTGGTAACAACTCAACTTGAGAAAACTCTGAGTATCATGTGTTGGAATTCAAACTCATTTATTTATAACTCTAAAGTGGACTAGATAATAAGGGTAGAAGTTTTTATATTATTAAGAGATGGTCGATTACTTATCTAAAATTTATAGTGTATGTGACCTTATCAATATAACAAATTTGCAGTCAACTCTCGAGATTGATTCAAAAGAATATATAAGAAATTCTAGAATTAATTTATGGAAATTAAAAACAATAATAATAATAGTATTTTGTGAAGATTTCCCATATATGAGAAAACACATTATGTATTTTGGAAGCTCAAAACAGAAATAACATTATTTATAAAAAAAAATGACCACGTACATAGAAAAAAAGAAAGAAAGAAAAAGAGAAATATTGACTCGTAGTTCATGAAGGATATTGGGAATTTCACATCTCATAAATGATAAATCTATGGATTGTGTGCATTGAGGAATGTGTGGATATAATAGTTTGTTCGAATTTATTTAAAGGATTTAATATTTTTTAATTTAAATCATTTTAAGATGTCAGTTGTTTTATAATGTCACGAATTCAATTTGAAATTACAATGTCTTCTCAACACTTAAGACTATGATCAATGTATAATCTTTTTATAATGAAAAATGGAGTTTCATTGCTTAATTTTTGTCATAGTCAACGTTTAAAAATCAGAAAAGAAAGAAAAAATCCTAACAAAAGATTGAATGTTATAAAAAGGGGAAAAACATTCCATTGAAAAGGCAATCAAATCCTTAATTAGTATATATATATACACCCAAATTTACAATATATGATTGGATTATGAGTAATGGGCTTCCATTGAAACCCTTTTTTTTCAGATATCATATCTGAACGTGGATTATCCTTAATTTAGGCTAGGCATTGGAACATGTAATTTATTTTTCAAACAAATGATTATTGATTTCCTGATAAGGCTTTTTTCTAATAACGTCGAGCTATAGATTGGGCCTCGTACTATTACAATATTAGAATATTTTAATCTCTCCGTATATTGAACGTCGATAATATTATTGATCTTATTCTGACGAGGTTTCGAAACAATTTATTCCTTCACGTGTGTGATATATAATACCATTGTAAGTATAAAATTCATACTCTAATTAATAAATAGGCTACATTATGATATCATATGAATAATTTCAAGGTTTGTGGATCATAAGAAGAGGTACAAAACATGAAAGTTATGTTGTACATTATGCTGGCCTAAACATATAAAAACCGATATGCATTATGTAAAGTTAATAATCCATGCACTTTGTGTATGGAGAAAAACACAAACAACAGAACATGAGAGTCTATTGAACTTGTTATAGCATAATAATGTTAAAATCAAGAATTAAATAATTTTGTTGTTATACAAATTACAATAGGTTTTCTATTAGGTCGGCTTAACCATTAGATTGTCTTACTTTTTTTTTATAAATATGCATAGTTGCATTAAAAATGTCATATTTAAATAAATATCATAAACAGAAGTATGATATTTGATAATATAAATATCTATATTTGTTCATATAGTATGATGAGTTGACTTGTCTAATAGTTGGGATGTCTCATACAAGAATTTGAGTACAAACTTAACGGTTAACCAACTATCTTTTCAACGAATATGTATACTATCATCAAATATTATATTATGAAAAACAACCCTAAACAAATTTATCACATTTCATAATATAAGTATATATTTATATTAAAAAAAATTAAAAGTTCAACTAGTCTAATGATTAAACAATCCTACACAGGAATTTGTGTAGATTTCTTTTGGCAAAATAGGGGAAAATTGTATAGCTCTTGAATAATCCGAATGAGTTGACATAAACTCATAATACATTGTTGTAATTAATCCTTAAACAATAATGAAAGCCAAAAAAGGAATTTTAAAAATACTAAAAATACACTCTCAAGGAGCGTAGAACCCTTTTAAACCAATCTTGTAAGTTAAACACACACACATAAGAAAAAAAAAAATTACTTGGGCAACTTATGGAAAACAAAAACCTCTACTTTTTTTGGGCAGGTCCTTATTTTGCTGACCTGTTTTGCTCTTCGTTTTGTGCCAAGGTCACTTTTTGAATGTCGAAGGTTTCTATTTTCATGATCACTGTCCAAACCCAAGTCCCAAATTTTGTTTATTTAAAACCCCTTTTAACAAATTTTTGTTCTCAATTTTCTGTTTCTCTTTTCTCTTTCTCAGTTTTTTGTTGTCTCCTTTAAACTGGCAAAAAGGCAGAACTGTAATCAGTCTCTATAATTGTAAGTGTGAGATAATCTTGAAGCCAATTCTGAGTTAGCCTTTTGCTTTTTTGTCATCTCCAAGATTTTATTTTTTCTTGTGTTTCTCTGTTTTTCTAAGGGGAAAAAAATGCAATCCTTGATTATCTGACATGAATTTTCTCTGTTTTTTTTTATAATTTTTTTACTTGTCATGAATTTAGAGATTTTGATCATGGAGGGTGGTGGAAGGAGGCAAAGGTGGAATAACAACAAAAGATTTCAGAACAAGAAGCCAAATCATGGTACATTCAAAGTTCAAGATCTTAACTAAATGATGCTAAATTGTTTGTTTTGCTATCTGTAATTACTAATTACTAATTAGTAAATTATGCCTGATTTTGGGACTTTGGATTTGGGTTTCTTGATAGATTTATTGGGTTGTGTTTCAATTTTTGTTGCAGATAATGTAGATATGTGTGTTTCCTTTTTTTTTTTTTCTTGTTTTT